AAATAATCGCATTGAAGAGTTAGCTGCCAAGTGGGTCAAGACAAAGTGTAGTTACAACGGGCGCTGGCGTCACGAATAATAGTCATATCTCTTGCCCACCCTGGTACGACCTGGCAGGAAATTTATTCTATCCCTGTTGTCAACAAATCACAGAATTGCTGCTAGTTTTTCGGAAAATACTATACCGAACTTGAGGCAACTTGATGAAAATTCCTTGTTCAAGGGAGTTCACCATTACGACAAAAATTGAACCTTATCCAGATTCGAACTCAGTACCTCCAGAGTTCTGGTTCGAAGCCGACCCCTTTGCACTGTGCCACCACACCCAATATGCTTCAGACGCAACCAATAATGCACGTGATACAGATATAGCACGAATATGGTAAAAATCCATAACACATTTTTTTAATTAACTCCTGGATTATTACTTTTCAACTCAAATGTTACTTCGTTGTGGGAGAACAATTTGATCAAAACTGCGTGAATACCAACATTTGCATGTCAGCCTCAAAATGAGGAAAGAGCAGAGCAAATTCTTCGCCTTTCTCTGTTAACAATTAATCTAGCAGGAAATGAGTTACTATGAATAGTTGTTTCACTGTTGCCGAATTATTTTCTTGTCAGGAGTACCTGGTGGTCTTTTCTAGTCGATAATATTTACAATTCACAGTCATGTGTTCTGGCTCAGTTGTGTCTACAGTATGAAATTTCTGAATGAACTTCCGTTCATTTTTGGGTTGTTTCATCATAATAACGGAAACACCGGCCTCTGAGTTATTGTTATCTCAAATTTTCTCTATACGTTACGCTGTTGCAAGCTTACGTTTATTGTGCCACAGAATTGATATCGACGAAAACGGTTGAGTGATGCGAATTTAGAACACACCGTTCTGGATATATACCCTGAGCACATGTATGATATCTAATATATCTTAGTTCTTAAAATTTTTCTTTTCAAGTAGCCCTGCTTCTGATAAAGATAAATCAGTCCCATTTCTACTCACGTCGATGGCCTAAAGACTCTCGTCACCGAAATGACCTCAATTTTCTGAGACTCACTTCTTTTCATGTGAACATCTGAATTTAAGCGTGTTTCTTTTTCAACAAACAACTTCCCCAAATAAACGTGGCGCCTCAGTGATTCTACACTTCACTGTCTGTGTATTTCTTGTTTCTTGAACCAGTTGTTTGAAGAAACGGTCATAGAATTTAAACGAGGTTTAAAAATCAAAGTGATTGATTCGTTGAGACATTGTGTTTTATACTGAGGGACCAACTCATTGCAGAAGATCTTTACGGTACCACCGTTTACGCCGTTTCAACATCGCATAGCAAGAGACCGCAGGACACACAACAAGTTTATGGTTACTGAAAATATGCTAATCATAGGTAAATATTTGCAGGAAAGTCGCACAATGTGCTAAAGAATGTTACCGTGTTTTCAGGCACGTCGAACTGGTCAGGGGACTACTTCTACAACACAACCGGTGTTGCTGTAGTGGTAGATCAAAGTGGCCAAAAACGAAAGCCTTTAGTTGAACAGCTGCGTCGTATATTCGTGCGCGATTGGGATTCATCGTACGCCCATCGACTACCAGAATATATGAGTGTTTGCCTGGAGAATCAAGCCGGTGATCCAATGTGCGCAGCAGAGAAAACTCACTGAAACCAGACCGGATGTGATTCATCGCACTTCACGACCGGAAGCGATACCACCTGTTTCAACAGGGCATATCCTTTCTGGTTCTTTACGGAGGACGAATGCGTTGTTTTATGTTACGATAGTTACGATAGATGTTCTATGTCCACCGATTTTTCATATTCTTACTTTTCGCATTGCGTGCATTAAACGTAAATCTGATCAAACTTTGTGCAATATATAAATAGTATCATTCAGAATATGGTGAAATGCGGTATTTAAATCAATCACTGAACAAAATGTGAACCGAATAAACTAATTTGTCGTTATGTCATTTGTGATTGTTGTTTTGGTGGTCATATTGATGTCTATGATTCATGATCAGTACTGTTATTTTAGTCGTGTGATGCTGAAGCGCTCGACCACGCAAACTCAGCTTGAAACCGCCTTTTTCTTGGTTGGGGCGCAGGGTGAGATATGATTAGAGCATATCATCATCATACTCACTTGGGTAAAAAACATTAATACTGTCATTCAGTCACAACTTGAGGAGTTGTGATCATACACTTTATTTAGCAAATATAGTATATAATATATGATATGTATATAATATGTATATAGCAATGTATAATTCAATTGCCTTGCGCTTTAGGGGGTAGGGTTCAAATCCAACTCATTATTAAATTTTCTCT